ACGGACGCATCTACACCCCCGCAACCCAAGAAAATGCACTATCCTGCAAAATCAGCATGATATTCATGTTCAGCGAGCTAAATGACCACCCTAGACGAAGTTTAAAGCAAATCTATGTTTTCGACCCCATACCGTATAAACACCATAGCTCTATGAAAAGGTCCCAGTATGCAGAGAGAGTATGAAATTCGTAATCATCATGTCGAATAAGTTCTCTGTACTCTAGCCGAATTCATGATTTTGACTTCCTACCGTACACCTATCGTGATCACATGGGGAGACGTTCTGCTAAGAAAGTGTGATATCTGTAATCAGCATGTAAGATAACCCTTATACACGAAGTCGGAGCAAACTCTACGACAAAAAATTTTGGGGCCGGATAGCCGAATAGCGCCAAACTAATAATGTATTCGAATCAGCATGCTCGTTTACTCCCCTGTGCCTGCTCTGCCAACTCCCAGCCCCGTAGCTCAAATTTTGCAAAACAATCGATAAAATCGATAAAATAAATGGATAGTTCTAAAAAACTGATATTGTATTCGTAATCAGCATTCTCGATCACCCCCCCCCCCTGTGCCAACTCCCAGCCCCGTAGGTGAACTCTGCAAAAAAATCGATGAAAATCGATAAAATCGATATCGGTCGATGACGAAAAGTAGCTCATGACACCCGCCGGGGCGCGAAGTGTAAAGTGTATGTGTGCCAAGTTTGGTCAGGATCGGTTCAGAAATGGAATTTTCTATTCGGAACATACGAACACACATACATACATACATACCCTCGATATCACCCCATATGTCTTCCCTCAACATGACGTGGATTACGTGGCTTGATGAGGCGCCGCCTCGCCTCAGGCTTGCGCCACGTTTGCGTGCGTATCTTCGGCGTGATGTGGCAACGAGAAGAACGTGGAGAAGCCTGCGCCACGTTGTGCTGAGCGCCACGTCGCGCCAAATGATACGCTCGCAACGTGGCGCGAGCCTGAGGCGAGGCGGCGCCTCATCAAGCCACGTAATCCACGTCATGTTGAGGGAAGACATATGGGATGATATCGAGGGTACATACATACATACATACATACATACATACATACATACATACATACATACATGCATACATACATACATACATACATACATACATACATACATACATACATGCATACATACATACATACATACATACATACATACATACATACATACATACATACATACATACATACATACATACATACATACATACATACATACATACATACATACATACATACATACATACATACATACATACAGACAAACAGACATTCAGCTTTATATCTAAGATTTGTAGCATATGCAATGCATAGATTGCTTTTCCGGAGGCATGGGAGCTAACATTTCGTGCCGGCTACCACTTGTAATGACCCCGTCAAAACTTGAATGAGCTATTAAGTTGGCTGATAAATAAGTTCGTTTTGACATGCGTATTCGAAGCTCTATGACAATTTACGTAGCAGCTAATCAGCTGAGTACTTAAAGGATAGCTTTAAACATTTTTTCTCGACTACCGAGTAGACATAATTTCTTGTCACTATAAGTGACACTTATGTCATTATATGGTCAGACTTCTAAAATCGCTTTTTGGACTTGTAATTTTCGTTCTCAACCTGTAGTAAATATACAGAAGAGTTAATTGATGACTTGATAGTTACAATTATTGGCTAAATGGCGAACTGCAATGGAAAATTTGTGAACAGCTTTTTGTGAATTTAAGCAGCCGATAATGTAAAATATTCTAGGCATTTGCGAGTGGAAGTCAGATTTTGGGCAATCCAGATCGCGAATTTGACCATCTTTGGCCATATAAATAGTTGAAAATTTGAACATTTGTTGTGTGATGTTGAATTTTACATTTTTACAACTGACCATCAGGGCCTGGCACGAGGTAAGCAAATGTCAAGCTGGAAATCGTTTTCGGCGGAAAGCAAAGAACATGTTTTTCATACAATCTCTAGACAAGTTGCTACACGACTGACATGCAAAAACACGATCTTGCTTGCGCGCCATCTTCAAACAACTACAATGCCTCCATTCAGTTGCATCTAAGTAAACGTCTCAGTTACAGCGCACACATAACGATATATCCAAGAATTTGGAGTCTAAATGGACTTGGACTAGGAGGAGCATAGTGCGAAGTGTTGTGAAAAAATTATGTGACTGAAAGGTGCAAGGTTTTTTCTGAAAATTTCTTACTACCACAAAATGATGAAGTCTCGTTTGCAACGCACAAATGACGATATGGCACGACATTTGGTATGCATACGCGCGGTAACACTAAGAAATAAAGTGTGAAAAATTACGAGAAACTTTGGTGATAAAAGAGCTTGCTTAAGTCTTCTCCAAGTCAGAGGGCAATGCTTAATAGGCAAAACTTTCATTTCACATAAGTTCATAATTTTTACACAAATCTGTTCTACATCCTAAAGTTTGGTATGTAGCAACATTTTGGTGGAAAACTCTTCCTTCCTCCTTGTTAGGATCCGGAACAGATACAACGCCGGTCTTTTTGAGGAAGAAAGCGAGCTCCAATCGAACAATCTACGCAGCGGAATCAGGTGGGAAATCATAAAAATTGATAGTGGCAAAGGCGACGTCGCTTTACCGATGTCCATTTGCCAACCTTGCGCAAAGGCCCTGACTTCAGCTGTTTTTCGGGGCATGATTTATCGGAATTTTGAGAAAATTTTACCGGACCATTTGATTATCAAGAAGTAATTTTTGAACTCAAGGAATTAATCCTCGGATTCTCCTTGATTCACTCTTTTCAGTGGTGCCACATCTCCACACAAAAAATAATTTCTAAAATTTTTACAAAGCGCTAAAAACAACCGAACTTATTTTTTAGCCAGCCTAATAATTCAATTTGTCCTGTGACCGTCATGAACAACTATGTTTCTTTTTGCAGTACTATGGTACGGTACTATCTTCCTTTTCAGTTTTCTTTTATATGTACTTTCGTTCAGACGTGTCCAGGCGAAAAGTTTGAATTTTTCTGCTTACCTGGCTTATCTCCTTCGCTGTTTCCATGCCGCTTGGATAATGCGAAAATAACAAAAACCTCCGATGATCTTGTGAACTTGGATGTATGGACGGAGAGAGCGCCACTGCTAAGAATCGATGCAGGTATCGATTCTTTCAGGTTTTCATATCGTCATGCGTGCGATATGCGCAACCTGATTTGCAATTTGAGATAGATGAGTGAGTTTTGGGAGCGACGTCCATGGGCTGAGCTTGAAGAGCTTGAACTACTGCGAAATTGACAGGGATGTCGTCAATGCGTGTGTAGTTCCGTTTTGCGATTCCCATATGCACCGCTGTTAGTTCTTCGTGATAGAGTTTCTATGGAGGGGTTGTGCGGTTGAAGGTAATCATTCCTAACTACCTCCTCTATATTTTCCTTATATTCCTCTTCTAGTGATATCCCGACTTCTGTGTCAAAGCAGCATCAAGCCATTGCTTTTGCTATGCAGACCTTTACAAAAGTAAATTAAAATTATCTAACTCAACCCTTAATTTATACGTAGGACAGATGAATTAAATGGAGTAAATTTTATCGTGTGTTTTCTTGTTACGCTCCCTCCCCCCACAATGGTCGGCCGCCTCAACGTGTGGGTCACGCTGGGTATGTGCGATGCACAGCCGAGTATATACTCTGGCAGTGCCTCCCAAGCTGTGAAGGAGTTCGACTTTTCCGGTTTCTGCCGGATGCCTAGCTAAGAGCCGGCCAGGCCAGATCCCCCGCCATCTGGTTTTCCCAATCGCTAGGCGGCCCTCCCCGCTCCACGCCCGGGTCAGCGATCGTCCCGTGGAAATCAAGAGTTTGCCTAAGTCTGCTCTAGTAGGGGAAAACTTTGATTTTTCCGTCAGCAAGAAGAGATAAAATAAACCCTGTTTATCAGATCCCGCCTCTGGCGCCGGGTAATAGCAAGAACGATGTCAGGGTCCTCAGAGCGCCTTTTGGATTGGACAAATAAGACAAATCTGCCCGGGCGACACGCCATGGAGACTGCTTTATGCTCTGCACCTACAATGCCAGGACAATCTCCACAAACGCCAACCTCCACGCTCTTCTCGACGCTGCAGAGCACATCAAGTGCACATCATCGCTCTGCAGGAAACGAAGTCAAGGAAGAAGGACGTGCGATAGATGAGTGATGGGACCCTCATCACTTGTTGTGAGAAGATTCCATCACGAAATGTTAGAGGCGTTGTTGTTGTCCACTTATCTATCGTCCATCTTGTCGATTCGCATGAGATTCTACCACCTCGACTAGCCATACTACGATTACGAACTCCACGCCAGAAGACCATCAGCATTATGAACTGCTACTCTTCAACATCAGCAGCTGATGAATCAGAACTAGATGCTTTCTATGAAGATGTAGATAAGGTGGTTTGGATCTGAGAAGAATTCCCGTTTTGTGACCCAGTGGAATGCGTTGCGAAAGCGAAGCACCGATGAGCCGGTCACATCATAGAAAATCAGATGATAGATGGACACTAAGAACATCGGAGTGGATTCCTCGCGAAGCAAAACGTCCCCGAGGAAGACCTCCAGCGAGATGGCAGACGTGTTCGCGGAACGGAGGACCAGCTGAAAAATTAGCTGGATACGATTTTTGCACCTGGAACTCGGGTACGCAGCACCGACATCAACGAAGAAGATCGTGGAAGCCTGAAGCGAGGGAAAGGGAGAAACGAAAACTTCCCTGCTGGGGCCACCAAGTCACGTGCAGCAGGGTCATCTAAGTATGTATCTAAGTAAGTTTCTTTTTATGTCATGTCGGTTTATTCGTTTTAAATTAGACGAGTCATACCGCAAGCTAAATGTGGATGTTGGGTTTGAAAAGTTTGGCCATAAAACAGTATTGTCAACAATTTAGCAAAAATCAGCAAATTTAGCAAAAGCTTTGCAAATACCATGAAAAGATATTGAATAGTCATGTAGGAGATACTCACTTTTGTAGCTTCAAATCTCTATGAACTTGCTCCTTACTGTGAAAAAAACTCATTGCATCTGACAACTGATAAAGCCAAGAAATAGCGTGATCAATTTCGTATTTGATAGAGTGGTTCGAAACAACTAAAATATCATTTTATTATATTTGAATCAAACCGCTATACATAGGGTAACTCACGCCATGCAAGACTGCAATCCATCAATTCCATAACTATGCCCGTACCATTCAGAGGACAGTTGTAGAGCCCGAAGAATTTTATGCAGTTTTTGTGGTTCAAATAGGTATAAAAAATCTTCGCTTCTCGAACTAAGACATTGCGATAAGCAGGATTTGCGTACTTGATGGCGACCTCTCTAGGAACAAACCACATAAAAAGCACAGAAAAGTCCTTTTTTGCAAGATGGCAAAGGACTAATTTTATTTCTGCATATGCACCCGGTGCGCCAAAAATCTTGGCACTAAAATATAGTAAACAGTCCCATAACAAAACAAGCATGAAATCAATCCTTATTGTTTGTCACATAGTGCTGAAGCTCTACGATGAGCAATTTGACACCTCAAACGTATATATTTGATGTATGGTCTCTAAGAGGCAATACTCAAGAGATAGAAACGCATGCTCATGCAAGTTGTTTTATGATGAGTGTCACAGCTCCAGTGTTCGATGGACTCTGCCATTCCGTTCGGACCTTGCGCTGCGTTCGCGGACCAGACATAGGGAATGGAAAGAAAACGGACATCTTCGAAAACTGCACTCATAGTGAGTGGAGGAGAAATTGGGCCGCACCGGACGACCCACGGGTTACCCATTCACCATTTTAACACTTTATTCCAATTTCACTCCTTGACATGTTTGACCCTGCGATGTAAGTCAAAGGTACCGTCCACCCTAAGTTGGGGGTTTTGAGCTTTTGGCAGCTAACAATAGTAGGGATCTTTATGAAGCGAATGCCTGAGTCACGGCTAAAAACGTGCTTTCGAAGCGAGAAAAGCTTCGGATTAGCGAAAAGGCATAGGGACGCCAAGTCGGCATGCTTCCTCCAGTAATGCCCGCCCATCCGTGCGCCCATTCAATCAGCGTTCCGGTGAACCGACTTGCTTGTTCTCCGGAACGGGGAGTGCCGGGGTTTTCGACGATTTTCGAATTCAAATTTGGGATCAGGGACATGAGAAGGCCTCGGAACGACAAAAACATGGACGTAGAGAATCGAGTGGACGGTGTCTTTGAGCAGAAGGGCAGATGTGAAAACTTAGAGTGTAATGGGCCCGTCGTGATGTAACTCTTGCCCGACATTGCTGCATTTTGCTCCCGCAGTGAGAAAACCGCTTTGGAAGTGACGACAGGAATGACTTGGCGGCTGGTAGGCCCTAAAATCGATAAGCCAAAGTGCTCATATCGCACCAGTCAAGGCTTCGAATCCCAGACGATTCTGATCTCAAAAGCAGTAATTCGGAAGATTGGCGACTTCGAAGTATCTATCTCAATTCCCCTAGATGAGCCGGGTCCGAGACTGTGCTTTGCAAGTTCTGTATGTAGGCATCGATAACTCGCTTTCTCGCATCTGGGTGCTGCATGGGAGAAAGGGGGAGTGCGAAAGCTCGCCCTGTTACAGCATTTATCTCGTGGAGTCCGGGTGGGTGAAGACACCTCATCCATCTCGGCGGCAATTGTTTTATTGGCTCCAGCAACCAATCGTTTTACAAAGGGGCCGGCCTTCGCTTCACACCCAAATAGCAGCTTCTACATCCAGAAAAGCGCGTTGTTAATATTATCAAAAGCTGCAAAGCACAGTCTTAGAATTAGCTCATCCAGGAAGTCAAGAAGGATGAATTCATCAAAGTTGTCAATGTGTCGAGCCACTGCCATTAGCCTTAGTGGCGCGTTCAAAATCACATCAGAAACTTTTGGAAGAGCCCGTTTTCGACATTTCCGTGCACTCCAGCTGCATTTTCGGATTCAACGGGAAGGATTAGTCCAGGTAAGCGAAACAACATTCCAAATTTTGCCCGGACGCTGACCCTAAGGCGTACTTGAGCCACCTCACCCACTCAGACAATCGCCGGGGGCAGGCGGTCAGCAGAATTCTGGGGCGTGGCCAAACCTTCAGCAAGCGGTAAGTCCTTTACTGTCGCATGATCTGCAAGCGGGCAGCAATACAGAATTTTCTGCGGGCGGTTGTCAAATAATTTCTTTCAGCGAGCGCTGGCCAAATTTCCAGCGAGCGCTCCGACTCTTGCTAGCAGTTTTGGGCGTACGCCGAGTAAAGATAACACTCTAGATGGCAGAGGTGTCTTCGATGGTTTAATTACTCTTTGGGGTACTTTCTTTCAGCGGAAAATACCTGAGGGCTGCGCGGTCTTTCACAAAGGAACGTGCGGCCCCTAAAAATTTTGCATATTCTCGCGGAGAATCCGCGAGGATGCAGTCACTGCGTCGCAACCAATCTATGAAGAAACCGCAATTTTTCCGAGCATTCGTCTAAAAATTTGGCCAACATTCTTTCCAATATCTGCAAGCGGACCACAAGAAATCAGCGAACTATTTTTCCGGTACCCGCTTGCCCATGAATCGCATGACCGTCTGCCCCCGGCGATTATCTGAGCACTTGATCCACTTTGGTACTGGTTACTCTCCGCTTTGACCAATAACGAAGTGGATGAAGTGAGCGGCGCAAGACTGAGCGGGCGTCGTTGGGTCTAAACCGCTGGAGCTGTGACACTCATAGTATCCCTACATTACCAAATTATCACCTACTTGAAGTTTCTCAAATATTCCATTACTTAGGTCCCACAGGGTGGTCCACATGAAGTGTGAGGCAAAAAAGAACTTCATAAGTTTGCATGAAACAATCCAGATCAAAACCATTTGCTATTGCTATCATTTGACAAAAGAAGTTGCTGTTTTTCTTCGAAGTTTTGTCTCAAGCCTTTATCCGGCTTCAGCGAAGTGGCATGGGTTTCAGGGCCCGGCACGAGTGGGGCAAATGTCAAGCTGGAAGATGTTTTAAATGGAAAGCAAAGAGGATATCGTGATTATTCGTTTATATGCACATACAATCTCTCGACAAGTTGCTACACGATTGACATGCAAAATCATGGTCTTGCTCGCACGTCATCTTCAAATATCCAAATTTTTCTCCATAGGGCTGGATCTAAATAAGTGTCTCGGCTACAACGCACACATAACGATATGATTAACAAGTGTAAGTCATATCGTTATGTGTGCGTTGTAGGCGAGACAGAGCCTGAACGGACTTGGACTAGGAAGAGTAGCGCGGAGTGCTGTGAAAAAATTACGTGAGTGAAGGTTGTCGCAAGCTATTTTCTGAAAATTTCCCACTACCACAAAATGATAAAACGGCCTGTTTGCAACGCGAGTGTGTATGCGTGGAGTTGGACTAACAAAGTATGAGAACTTATAAAAAACTTACGTGAATAAAGGGCGTGCTCAACTTTTTTTGAATTAAGTGGGCAACCACCTACCTAATGCCCACCTGAGGTAAGCAAAAATTCCACTTCGCACAAGTTCTTTGAAATTTTTACGTAAATCTCTTCTACATCTAGTTAGTATATAGCAATATATAGTAACATTTTGGTTCCAAAACTCCTCCACTCCTTCTTGTTAGGATCCGGAATAGCAACAACGTCGGTCTTTTTTAGGAAGAAAGCGAGCTCCAATCGAACAGCCTATGCAGCTGGAGAGATCAAGTGAGTAATCGTAAATATCAATAGCGGCAAAAGCGAAGTTGTTTCACTGATGTCCATTTGCCACTCTCGTGCTGCCGTGGTTTGCCGTGGTTGCATCTAGAAACAAATTTTGGGGGCCTAAGTAAGACACTGCTCAGGTGGTGTACTCAAGGCTGAGACATTGGCCTCCCAACCAAGCCTGCCGTATTTGGTGGACGACTTGCATCCTTGCATATTGCTTCGAAATCCACTGCCCTCGTAAAGAGTTCCAACGCAAAACCCTGCAATCAGATGCAAATCAGCTCTATTCGCGGCACTGGGGCAGGTGCGTAAAGGCAGTAGCTCGGCAAAACTCAACAAATCAAAATTTTAATGCCGTAGACTCCTTATTGCTCAAGTATGAAAACAGTGCATTCCCGGTTGCACAGCATGACTTCCTTGCCGAGAAAATTGCTCTCAAACTTACATGCGCAGGCCATTGCACGCATCTGGACGAGTTGGCAATTTCCTTCTCACCATTGGAGGCTGCCCACCGCAATGCTATAACCATTGGGTCCTGCAACGATTCGGCGTCATCAGCCTTGCAGCACTCGTCCAATTCCAAAGGGAAGGGCATTGAAAAACGCTCGTTTTCGGCATTTTCAAGCTCTCAAAAGTGGATTTTCGGAATCAGCGTAATAAGTAACCCCAGGTAAGCGAGAATTTGACTATGTTGAGATTTGCCGAGCCACTGCCTTTGGAGGCAGCATACACCCAAAATTTTGTCTCCCATGTTTTTGTCATCCTGGGGCTTTTCCGTGACCCTGGTTACAATTGTAAAAATCAAATTGTTCAAGACCCTCAAATAACCCCAATTTCCGAGGACCCTCTCTTCAGAGCGCGGATGAGTTTCGAATTGCTCGACCCAAACGGCATACCAGCGAGGAGCAAGCTGCAAGTGCATAATAAGCTGTACTTGCAAATGCAACTGCAGCGTACGCTTACAGTTTGCGCTATCGTGTCGTCCGAAGGAGGCGAACCGCAAAAAAAGGCACGGAGTGCAAAAAGAATCGGGCGCGTTTTTCTCCCCTTAGAAGGGGTGAAGGAACGAACACCTCAATTTGGTACCGCCTCCGCGGGCTGCCGGTCCTTTCTCCTACTGATATGCATCGTGCTGGGACCAATAGTCTGCGGTGGCGGTGCCTAACTGAGGTGTTCGTTCCTCCACGCCCTTAGAAGCAACATAGGGAGAAGGGACAAACGCACTTCGCCTTTTTCTGGGCCCTATATATACACTGTATAGAGAGCTGAGTAGCATAGATTCTGGGTGTACGCTGCCTTTAAACGCTGCTTTCAAGAGCGAATTAATGGCGCCGAACATTAGTGCTAATGTCCCAATGAAAAATCCAGGTGCCGTCCTCGAAGTTCTTTTTTTGCCTAAGAAAGCACCACATCCCTTCAGAATTTTTCCAAAACTTCTCTCGATATCTCGAAAAGTTCGCATTTTTATAGTAATTATGGTTGAACGATTTTGAAGCTGGACATCTCTAACTAAAACGTTCATCTAACAATAGGAAACATAGCGTGAAAGAAGCAAGCCGACCAGAAATGGATCTGCTATCCGTCACACTCCAAGTGGATTGCACTGCAGTGTAGGTCTTATTTTGTCGTGTAATCTCTAATCAAAAAAGCGATTTCCAAAAAGAGAGAAATGAAGCGACTCAAACTTCATTTCTAATACTTTTCCGCTGTGTTGACGCACACAACTCAAAATATATTGGATCGTTTCAAAAATAAATTGCTATTTTGAGCGAGCGTAACAACCATAAACCACAAAGCTCTTGGAACCTTTAGTTTTCCTTCATACTATGCAGCAGGACGCGGCAGCCTGCCGCTGCAGTCGCAGTCGAAAATACGCTTACGGCCGCAGTGAAGAAAATGATGAAGGAGTGGAGGAAACGATGAAACTGCGGTGACATCAGCACATCATTGCGACTGCAAATTCTATGGAGAAACTCTTTCATCGAGTGATGTATTTGTATATAAAAAAATTGTCTCGTAATCTGTAGAACTAGCTCTATCTGTCCGTCGCTTGGACATCTTCGGGAGTTGGTATGAAAATCTGAAAAATGTAAAACCCACTTATGGCAAAGACCATGACCGTAGTCTTTGTCGTTTTTTGTGAGCTTAATGTTGAACTGGAATGGTTGAACTACAAACCAATCACTTGTAGGAGGTGAAAACCTACATTAAATGCACTCAAAAGCTTTCGATAATTCTTATTGAGTGGGTGTATTACGGCCGATTAGAAAAAGCAGAATTATTTCTGGAACGAGCTAATATTTTGAACTTTTGGAAAAGAAAAAAATCGAATTTACACAACAAAGTTACGATAGTACGGACCTAAACAAAACTAAGGCTGACACCGCGCTGAGCAGTCATGTTCGTACGACATGAGGCAGGCGCGCCATAATTCTGTTGCACCTTGTAGGTTCACGCCTCCATCGTTACTTAAGGCATCAGCTACTGATATCGTCTATATCTATAAAAAAACGTATAAAGAGAGTTCATAAACCTACTTCCATTGTAAGTCACAATTATCGAAGTATCGACATTTGACTACTCGACCGAATGTTCCTTCGCCCAGCAGCGTGCCATCCAGATTGCCGTCGATTTGACTGCAAATACGTGATCCACAGAGCACAATTAAATACCACGGAACTCCCTCATAGACGGTTCACAGCCGCATAGTCGCGGGGCTACGTGGGGCGTCCCCAGGTGGCGAAAAAGGGAATAATCCCCGACCAAAAGCGACCCCGCGCCTGGTCTGATAAGCGGCCGGAGCCGGAGAACGGACTCCCTATCTCCACTAAAAGCTTGCATTCTAATTTTCCGGATAGGTGTGTGGGGAGGTAAGTTCGGAGTCGCCTCCAACAAATAAGCTCCTATCGTACCTTGCGGGTTTTGAGCCCAACAAGCTATTTTTGTGAGTGAAACCTTGTTCGACAGAGTGATAGTATGAAAAACTCCTCTAATCTTGAAAGAGCCACTGGTAAGGCAGCGTCAGTGGGGACAAGGTTTGAAAGGCGATCTAGGCTGCCGAAAACGAGAAGGACGATGATGACGATCTCTACTTACAACGCAACGATGCCATCAGACGCATCTATCGAAGACCTCATGATGCAAGCAAGGAAGATCAAGTACGACGTCGTCGGACTGACCGAGACAAGGAGACACCACCCGCTGAACGTTACATTTGAGACTGGAGAAGAATTGTTTCTAGGAACATGCGACAGTCGAGGAGTAGGTGGAGAGGGAGTGTCAACACGAGTTTGGCTATGAACATCGGTTCTTTAAAACAACTCAAAACTCGAATCGGTCTCTGCGAATATTAAGATGTGGATCACTCCCTACATTGACCGTCTTCATTGCGTATGCCCCAACATCCAGCTACGACGAGGACGAACTCGAGGCATTTTATATGGTCCTGGAGAAGTTCTACAGAGAAAACCATACATTCTACAAGATCATCGTCGTGACTTCAAGACGAAGATCGGAGCTAGAACGTCGCTTGCAAAACTTTATATCGAAAAACATGTTTACAATTGGAACGAACAAGGGGAGGAACTGTCCGAGTTTATCATGACGACGAGGACTATACATAAAAACTCACAAATCCAAAAGCCCTCTTCCCGACGCTGGACTGGGAATCGCCCGGTGGAGAGTACCATAACGAGATTGACCACATCAACGTTAATAGAAGGTACTGCCTGACGGACGTCGCTGTTGTTACGAAGTCCTACACGGGATCAGACCATCGTCTCCTACGCGCCAAATTCTATTTTCTGCGGAATGGAGAAAAGGCCGTCAGCTTCAGGAAGCATCGTTCCGTAAATAACATCATGGAATCTGTTTTCTTCGATATTCGGCTCATGGTGAGATAACGTGACAACATCGACGAAGAATACGAACGGTTCGTACAACATCTCCACGATTGTGCCAAGGAAGCTCAGAGTCTAAGAAGTCTAGGTCTCACCGCAGAGACTTGTAGCTGATACGCCAACGTGGATGCGCACGAGTCACAGCAACTACCAACTGACTTGCGAAGTGATGCAGAGAAGCGATAAAAGAAGACCTCAAGGAAAGAAGAGTAGCAGTGATGGTTGGCGCCGCGGAGGTTGGAAAAAGTATAGCAACGTCCGCCGAAGCTTCGTCAACTTCAAGACAAAGATGACCGCATTTCGTCGTCCTGACGGAACCATAATTGCTTCCCGAAGATCAATGGAAAAGGTCATCCACGACTTTACCTCAGATCTCTTTGCCAGCCACTCCACCTTCCACCACGCCATCTCAAGGAGGATTATGTCGCACCGTCTGTTTTTACTTCCGAGACTCGTTATGCTATTATGTCGACGAAGAACCGTACAGCACCCGGCCCCGACAGGATTAAATCTGAAGAATCTTTCGCCAGTTCTCATCAAGACCTTGGCAAGCCTCTTCACGCGGTACCTGACGGAATGCAAGGTTCCAAGACAATGGAAGACCAGCAAGACTGTGTTGCTGTAAAAGAAGGGAGATCTCTGCGACATCGGCAGTTATCGCCCTATCCGCCTGTTGTCTGCACCCCACAAACTCTTCACGCGAGTTATTCTCAACAGGATCGGAAGAGAGTTAGACGAAGGACAACCGTGCGAGCAAGCTGGGTTTTGAAGAGGATTTAGCACATTAGACCACATACACAGTTAAGGTTCATCGAAGTATTACGAGAGTACAGGATGCCTCTCTGTCTCACTTTCATAGACTTGATGAAGGCCTTTGACTCGGTTGAGACTAAAGCCGTCATTGATGCCTTAAGCAATCAAGGTATCTCTACTCAGTACATCAAGATAATTCGTAAGCTGTACAACGACTTCACAACCAGCATCACACCATTCTACAAGGACATCATCAGCGACGTGAAGAGAGGTGTGCGACACTACGATAGTATATCGCCGAAGCTATTCAGTGCCGCTCTGAAGAACGTCATGCGTAAGGAATGGGACAACATGGGAGTAAAAGTCGACGGCCGGCAAGTACACCACTTTCGCTTTGCTAATGACATCATATTGATGACATTAAGCATCACGCAGGATGCTGACCCAGTTTGACGAAACGTGTGGAAAGATCGATCTACGGCTGATCTTAACGAAGACGATGTTCATGAGGAACGGAAGTGTCCGGTGCTCCTTTCATGCTCAACGATACGAACAACACCGAATGATTCGAGCTACATTTACCTAGGTCGTAAGCTCAATATGATGAACGATTTAGCTCCGGAATTGAGCAGGAGAAAACGTGTAGCATGGGGGCATATAAGACAATTGAGAACGTAGGAAGAAGACCAAGAACATCCGGCTCTGCGCCCATCTCTTTAACTCGACGGTTCTTCCTGCTTTGACATACGCTTCAGAAACATGGACAATAAGGAATCAGAATGAACACGCCGTAAGCTTCATCGAACGTGCTGTTGAGAGAGTGATGCTAGGAGTGAACGGACTGCAAGTGAGGCAAGAAATACGAAGTCCTACCTTTCGTCAACGATCGAAGATCAGGAACGCTGCCGCATAAAGATAAGGGTCGCGCACGTAATGCGTCGACGACAACTGGTGGACGAGAGCTGTAACAGATTGGATACCACTGAACGTCAAACGCGAACGAGGAAGACTGTCGACGCGATGGTCAGATATGTTCACGAAGTCTTTCAATGAATTCCTTTAGAGCGTTCTACGTGTTCCTGGTGCGATACGTAAACACTGCAACAATCGCCCAAGACCGGATACAGGTGACAGGTGACAATTACACAAAAATGAGTAACCGATTAGAATATAATATTAGTTTTGGAGAGTTGCTTTTGTCGATTTTATAAATTCTTCGCAAATTTGAGCTATGAGGCTGAGAGTTGACACGGGGGGGGGGGGTAAGCGAACATGCTCATTACGAATACAAAAGGGTAAGCGAACATGCTCATTACGAATATAAAAGTAGTTTTAGAGTTGCCGATTACGTTTATGGATTTCATACAAAGTTTAGGCTACGAGACTGGTGATTGGCACAGGATAAGTGACACGCTGTCCAACACAAACATAGTGGAGGCAGGGTACCGGCATATAGAGTTGGGAGCGGGACAGGGAAATGCCTTAGATATAGGGCATGGTGATTTTTATCAAAGTGTATTGACATAGCCGGGCGGAGCTGCTTATGCAAGCTAATTTACAATTATTATTATATCAAATTTTCTACGCCCTCTTTGGTCTATCATATTCATACTACAAATCTTAGGATAAATTCGAGTACTCTCGTTCACGGGACGTTACTTCGCTTTGGGATTCTCATAATTAAAAAGCGCATTCACATGCTCTGAAGAGCTGCAGAACGTTCGTGCCAAGCTGTCAAAGAAAACGTGAGTTATAAAGTTGGATGATGCCATTCTTTCAAAAGTAGCATGTAGTAAAGGAAAATTACGAAGCATAACAGCGATAGACCAAATTAGTACTTAGTAGAGCCTGGTCGGAGTAGCAAGATATTGTTAAAACTTATGCGTCAAAAGTAGTGGCACAACAGCACAAAAATAGAAATTTCAAACAGCCGAGGAGGATTTAGGCGTTTGTGATGTGAGTTCGCACAACTCAGGTGGAGCTAACCCCTTCACCGAAAACGCGTCAATAAACACTCTGCTGGCCACCAGGTATGTTGAAACCCCCAGGCAGCTTCGTGAATATAATCCAAACCTTGAGGGTAAAATATACCTCAAGGTTTGCTCTCAAGGATGAACTTTAACCTCAATTTCTTTAGCTGAATACGTCACCAGCTATGTGCTAACCCTCAGCAGCATCGTGCATAACACGCAAACCTTGAAGATAAAATATACCCCAACGTTTGCTCTCAAAGGCAAATTTTGTCCTCTAAGTTTGATGCGCACGCCTCTCAACGTTGGGTGAACTCGTGTTAAACAAGCCGTGCCTTGTGCACTGCTGGGCTATCCTCCTGGATAGCACCAATCTCTCTTAGGAAAAAGGTAGTGATTCGAGGCAACAATTCCTTCTTCAGAATGCTATTCATGTATGTATTGTTGTCCACTTGAAGCACCGTGGTGCAAGAATTAGCGGCATCTATGCCGGCGAAAGTGATCGCCGCCAGATCATCACGAAGCTGGATACCTTTTTCTAGCAAGCCTACTGTCTGATTCGTTTTGAAAATGATGCTGCTGGTTTGGCTGTAAAAATCCTGTTACGTGGTAGAAAAGTTCCTCGAAGATTGGGGTTCAGTGGCGTGCTTTAGAGAAACATTTAAGATTTGAGGCACTTCCGCATTGGTTTAGCTTGTCGTTCCAAAGAGCGCAGTTTAATGCATCTTGCAAAGCCTCTCAAAGTTTTGTCTCGCGATGTCGGAGAGGTCTTTCGAGTGGTGGGTACCGGGTGGGGAACGAAAGCCGCCAGTTTGAGCCGCCTCCGCGGACTGCTGGTCCTGGAACGACATGCAACAACACTGCGAAAGGACCAGTTGGCCGCGAAAGGCGGCTCAAACTGGCGGCTTTCGTTCCCCTACCCGGTGGGTACCTCTGAAGCAAGCTATCAAGCCGGCAGGGTTACGCAAAGAGTTCATTACGGATTAGCTTGAAATTTCGCTCTAGGGGGTTATTTGGTACTCTGAACCGATTAATCACCGACATGCTAGCGCCATTTTCTCAGGCTGCGGTCAATATACGGTAGATGGTCTAAAAATCCAAACTAGCTCCAAACTTCGTCAGAAGTTTTGAGCATATTTTCACAGATATCATGCATATTTGCTGCAACAATGCTTCATTATGGAGCAGTGGCAAGTTACAGCTGTAAATAAGCCTTGTTTGCAGTTTCTAGGTCATTTTTGATTTTCAAAAAAGGCTTCATCATGAGAAATGAGCGCAATATTCGTGATCAGCTAGTCGGATAACGCCGCGGCACATAATTTGAGGTAGATCTGCTACTCTGACCGCGTACTGTATGCTTCGTAACTCCGCACCAGGGGCCCTAAATCGCAAAAAAGTATGATACTGTAATCATGCTATATAATTTCATCAGGCAAAGTTTCTTCCACCATTTTCATTTATTGGCTCAAAAAATATAGAATAGCGCCAAAGTGGCTAGTGGCGTCTGATGGCTGCGAGCGGCGGCTACAGACGGCCGGCCCCTGCCTGCGCGGTATGAAAGTACCTGAAGCGCAGTGTCATCGCAATCGCAGGAATCTCTTGGATGCAACGAGAAGGAACTTCTCACGCAGTACGGTAGCCGGCCCACAACTGCACCATCATTCAAGTGCGGTGTTGATCTGACCTAAGGCCGAATGTACTGATGCGATTCCAATCGCGATGCGGTTTGGCAGTACTCCAATCAGTCATAACCCATGGTAAGGGGTTTCTGAATGTGCGGAAGATAGGGCATTTTATCAACATACGAAAGTTATACGTGCTGTGCCCCTGGGGTCTACCATTATTGATGGCTTCAAACGGTGGGTGAAAAATCGGGAATTCGTCCAAGCGCGCAGAAACCAGCCAGCGCGCCAGATTAAAATTTGACGGCAAGGGGCATACTGTGCGACTGGAGCTCTGTTTTGATAGTTGGAAGATATGCAATCTACCACATCAGAGCGAAAACACAGCTTTGGCGAGGCGCTGCTCTCAGTAAAAGAGGCTGTCGTACCTCAAAGGAATCTCCGGGATGGTATTCGTATTGCATAAGCCCTGGTCCTGATTTGCTTTAGTTACTCGGTTCACAGGACGACGTTTTCTAGTTGATATGGGGGCTCTGTCATTCATCCTGAAACTAAGAGACTTGGGAACGCTTTGTACACGTTTAAACATCAAGTTAATAGCGCTTTACCTTGTGGGTGGTTCATTACATGAATTTTGAGGAGGATCATCATCAAGGGACTTGAAAGCGAAAGAACATACCTGAAAATTAATTACACTCCCTTTTCTTGATGTATTTTGCCACAAAGTTTCTCACACAGATTGAAAGATTTGAGACTAAAAAGGTGTAGTTGTGGCCACTTACTATTAAGTTGCAAAAAATAATTTCGTTTTGGCATAAAAATCGGAAATTTCTCTAGATATTTTTCATCCACGAGTCTTTTTGGGAGAAGTAGCTTAAAACTTCTTCTTTTACATATGAACTATTCTGGATTTTCTATCATGAGTAAAGAATACTTATGCTCGAGCATAGCTAAAATTCCAAAAGCTTAATTCTGCGACTTTCTAAGCTTCGCTTTCATGCTAAAATGTTTGTAGAGAATAGCAATTTGGTACTCGGATACAGATAATATTCCCTAATCAGCGATTAACAAAAGAATTGTGATCTGTTACTACAAAATCCTTCCATCAAAAAACCTGATTTTCTCATATTTACGCACAATGAGAAAACTGGTGTTTCTCACTTCTTTGCGGATTATTTTCATTGAAAATGAGTTCGACTCAAGCAAAATGTATATTTCAATGCTCATTAAAGTGTTCTTTCTAGAGATACTAAGCACCAACAATACTATTTTCCAAAAAATAAAAAATGATACCGGCTGGGGGGAACTTTTCACAGTTTATGCCTTTGGAGATCCCGACAGAACTTTTTTGCTGCGAAGTGCTCTAGAAGCTCCGCTTGCAGGTCTCTCATTTAGGCGTGCTTTTCTTAATCCCGATGTGATTCCTTTAACGCGGAGTTTTGTCAATGGTTTTTCGTCTTAAAAAAATAGTTAGACGTGGAAAAGGATACTACTCAATAAGCTGCTGAAAGTAGAAAAGCAGCAAAAATCTATGTTTAGACCGAACAATGAGTTGCCACGTATTTCTTGTCTTCTATAATGAAAATTCGTACTTTTCAACAGCTTTACACCTTTCTTGCTCAAATTACTAAGTGCGTGGTATTCCGCCCAATCATAAATACTACTCAGATACTTAGATGGACCGTCTTCACTTGGCGTGCGGGCCCCAGAGCGAAAGTTGCCATTTGTCCCTGTCCCTCGCTTCAGACATTTACGATCTTCTTGGTTGCCGTCGGTGGCTGCGTCCACGAGTTCCAGGTGCGATCACCGTATCCAGCGTAGCCGTGATTTCTCAGCTTGTCCATCCGTTCCACGTACACGTCTCGTTTGGCTTCGCAAGGAATCCACTCAGATGTTCTTAATGTCCATTTGTCGTCTGATCTTCTCATGATGTGACCGGCATATCGGTGCTTCGCTTTCGCAATGTATTCCGCTGGGTCACGAAGACGGGGCAATCTTCTCATATCCGTACTGCGAAGTCCGACTAGATGTTGCTTGTGTCGGGTTATCTTCAGAAGACTGCGCTCGAGCGCTCTGTGGGTGGTCCGTAAAGCTTTCGACGTGGCTGCAGTGTCGGCCCCAGTCTCAGCTACGTAACAGAGCGCCGGGAAAACGGTTGAGTGGAACAAGTGGGCACGAATCTCCGGGTCCGTCAGTTGGTCGGTGGCTTCCTTCAGAGGCCGAAGGCGGCGCAGGCTGCTCTTCTTCCTGTTAAGTTCTTCCCTCAAGTCGTTCTCCATGTTCATCGAACGTTCGAGATATACGTAAGAAGACGTCTCCCTGATAGGGGTGCCTTCCAATTCCATTTCTGCATCTTCGCAAAGGGCGTTCTTCATGAACTGAGCGTTCTTCCGATTGATTCGCAATCCGATCTTCTTCCCTACTTCGTTCAGTTCCTTCAGCATCGTCTCTGCTTCAGTGATACTGCTCGAAAAGAGAACGATGTCGTCCGCAAAACGAAGGTTCGACAGGAATCTCCCATCAGCTCGTATGCCTCTCTCGTCCCAGTCCAGTGACTTCATCACCCACTGCAAGGCCGCGGTGAACAGCTTGGCGAAATTGTGTCGCCTTGTCGGACCCCCTTCCTAATTGGAATAGTCAGGGGGCGATAGAACAACTGCATCGTCGTTGTACAGTCCTTGTAACAGTCGGCTAACGTCCTCACGTAAGCTGGGTCCACTCCTTGATCCACTAGCGAAGAATGGCGTTGGTTTCGACGCTGTCAAAGGCTTTCTCGTAGTCGACAAAGGTTAGGACAAGAGGCAGTCGGTATTCCCGGCAGACTTCTATAACCCTCGAAGCCGTCTGGATGTGGTCCATGCAGCTGAATCCTTTGCGAAATCCAGCTTGTTCTTGGGGTTGGGCTTCATCCGGTGTCCTATATGCGAGCGAGGACAATCTTCGTGAAAAGCTTGTACAGCACACTCAGCAGGTATATTGGACGGTAGTTCCGAAGATCTTCCCGTTCACCCTTCTTGAAAAGAAGGACGGTTTTTGATGTTCTCCACTGGCCGGGAATCCTTTCCTTCTGAAGGTAAGATGTTAGGTGCGACGCGAGAACCTCCGGATGTTGTCCTCCAGCTCGCAGAAATTCGACGGAAAGATGGTCTAGTCCTGGAGCCGTGGACGTTTTCATGGTCTGAATCGCTGTGCGCAATTCAGCAGGTAGAATTCGTGGTGGTACTTCTACAGTGGGAACAACAGGCATCGGCACGGGTGTTGATATGCGGAAGAGGTTGGTATAGAAGTTTTTCGCGATAGATTCCATCTTGTATCGGGAAGAAGTCGGAGTCCCGTCTTCGTTCAGTAGTGCAGCCAGCGGTACGTGATATTCGCAGAGGTCCCTTCGGCACTTCTTGAAACTTCGTCTTCCTTCGGCTGCTTCCAGTATCTTGGCTTGCCTGTACTTTCTGAGATCCTCCTGCAAAGCTGTTCTGCAACTGGCGTTGGCTACCAGTCGCTCGAGATGAGTTGCATTCGGATCCTGCCTCAGAAATCTTCTTCTTTCGAGCAGTTCCTTGGTGGTCTTCGAAATCCAAGTTCTTCTCAGAGGTCACTGAGGCACATTTTCCGCAGGCTCGCAATCCTTTCAGAAGTCGGTCGTAGTCGTACGTTGGGTCCTCCTCGATGGGCCAGTCACAACTTGATATGAGCTCCTCCAGCCTGTTACCTTCACAAACGACATTCTTCCTTCTTGCGGTACTGTGACAGACTTTCTTTTCCAGCCTGCGACTGAATCGTATCTTCGCTCGAAGGAGGCGGTGATCGGAGCCACTGCAGAAGGATGGAACTACTGAGACATCCAACAAGCTCCACCTTCGGTTGGTGAGAATGTGGTCGCGTGAATCGTTCCGTTGGGCGATTCTCAAGTCCACCGGCGATGTTCCCTCTTCATAAAAAAGTCGTGCAGCGGAGAGAAGCCCAACGAGACGGTTGCCGTTTTCGTTTCAGCCCATATCCAAACTTCCCAATCCTGTATTCCTCTTCTAGTGGCATCCCGATTTTCGCATTGAAGTCGCCCACAGCAAACTTGTAAAAGGAATTCTCGTTGCGGACGACCTGCTCCACGTCTTCGTAGAAAGCATCTAGTTCTGATTCGTCAGCTGCTGATGTTGGTGAGTAGCAGTTGATGATGCTGATGGTCTTCTGACGTAGAGGTCGTAGTCGTAGGATAGCCAGTCGAGGTGACAGGATCTCATGCGAATTGACGAGATGGACGATGGATGCGTTTCCTGCAGAGCGATGATGTGCACTTGATGTGCTCTGCAGCGTCGAGAAGAGCGTGGAGGTCGGCGTTTGTGGAGACTGTCCTGGCATTGTAGGTGCAGAGCATGGGGCATTCTCCATGGCGTGTCGGCCGGGCAGACGTGTCGTTTTTGTCCAATCCAAAAGGCGCCCTGAGAACCTTGACATCGTTCTTGCTACCACCCGGCGCCGTAGGCGGGATCCAATGTGCAGGGTTTATTTCTCTTCTTTTTGCTGATCGAGTAATAAAATGTTTCTCCTACAAGACTTAGACTTACTAAGCCAACTCTTGATTTCCACGAGGCGATCGCTGACCTCGAATGTGGAGCGGGGAGGGACCGCCTAACGACCAGAAGAAGCCAGACGGCGGGGGATCTGGCGTGGCCGGTTCTTAGCTAGGCATCCGGCCGAAACCGGAAACGTCGAACTCCTTCACAGCTTGAAAGGCCCTACCAGAGTATACACTCGGCTGTGCATCGCAGTTCGACACCCAGTGTCACCTCCACGCCACGATGAGGCGACCGACCATTGTGGGGGAATCATATATGAGAAGTGAAAATTCATGAATAGCCTTGAAAGTTGGAATTGCTTCTAACAAAAGTCGAGCAGCCACTATGTCGAACATCATTCAGCTCGAGCTCATTGGAAAATCTCAAGAACTACTTACAATTAGCAAATTAAGCTGTAAAGTTGACCTGAAACATTTTGTTTGTAAGCCGTTGTTCGGGCTGGTCTAACAAAGGGAAGATTTGGTGACTGTGGCCATTGGTGACAAAACGTATTTGAAGATACGTCCATCCGCATCTCAAACGTTAATTTCTTATTATTTGGGAAACACTTTTTAAGGAATTTAACAGCGTTCCTTGCCGTGAAAATGACATGTCCAAGTATTCGTCAGCTTTGGACAATTTGCCTGATTTATACTACTCAACACTCAGGGTCAAGCGTATGATGCGACTGTCGCAACGGGGGGTCGTAAAAGGGGCACCGGCGGGGGGGGGGGGGAAGGTCGTAAGAGAAGGTGGTTCAAATTCAAATAGTGTGGTATGTAGGAAATAAGCTTCTTAGTTCGCAAACATTCTCTACTCTTCAAAAAACAGCACTTTTCTCCCTGCAAAAAAGGTGTCGCAGACGGGAATCGAACTTGCTGACCACAAGTATGACCGAAGATTCCAAAGACACTTTTAGAAGCTCAAACGCTAGGCATGTATGAGTGACAATAATGCTAAATGTAGCAATTAGAAATCCTGGTTCTTAGGCATTACTAAAGTCTCACACTCTCGACAAAAGCGCTCATCTCTAACAACGATGACAATCGAGATTTTTAAAACTTTTTTGTTATGTCTTTCGAGGGCCCATCTAATTTACTTGTACTTTGGAGATGCTCTGCTACAAATCTGCAAAATCTGGTTATATTTCAAAGCCTGTGGATTTTTTAAAATTTTATATATGGCAACAAAAAATGAAAAAAAAGGAGGGGGGGGGTGGGTCGAATCTGGGTCGCATCTAAAATTTTTCGCCGCCATGAAGGCCTGCACGCTGCAATTTTGCTGTGTTACGAGACCATCCTCCTACTTACTATCATGAAATTTTTAGGCTGTTTCATAACTTCTCCGGTGAGTTACAAAATTTCAAGTTAAAAATCCCAGTTTTTGCTTTTTAGGATCGCATCTATTAGGGTGATCCAAAAGTAATGGGGCACCTTGGTTTTTTTCAACATTCTTCAAGATTTCCTTTAGCTATGAAGCCCAGCATTTTTAACGCCTTTGTATAAAGTGCTCTTCGCAGGTTATCTTGACAGCACCTTGCAGCACCTCACCGTCATTTCTTCGAGTGGCGCTCAAAAGAAGTCAGACAGACTTTTTTGAACGCCATCCGAATTTGGGCTGCTGCACCTGATAGTCCCTCGACATATGGCATACCATTCGAAAGAGCTTTCCAAGCTCTTTCTAATGATCACTTGAATACCCCAAAATTGCCCATTATTCTATACAAAACGGCACTTTGTTCGAAAAAGTGCGGTGTTTGGCGCAGATTTTCAGACTAAAATTCATGTTTTGGACCACAATCTTTTGAAAATGAGAAAAGTCGAAGTAATTTGCATACGCATGGATAGAGCGTAAAAGGCACTATCAGAAAGCAACTGCTAAATTTGTGCTTATTTGATTACCTTGATGAAAGAATAAGTAATATGTCTCCTGATACCCAATGCTATATCTTCTGTTCTAAAGCCTTGGGACCACCGAGCTATTGTGGATTTGGTAACAGTCCCCTCATCCATTGCTGCGCACATATCTTTAGTAGGCTCACTTGTTTTACTGCGGCGCTGCTGCTCAAAGTTCAAAATTACTTGAAGGGGTGAGCTTTAATTTTAAGCGCTTATAGAATTAACGCCATGTGACAGTGCCCAACTATAGACCTCGATCAGAAGGTTTTGTTATGTACTAACATCTGCCAAAACTTGAACTTCCAGTTAGCTTTTCTGTTTGAAAAAACTGCATTTATTCTATAGGTGCCCCATTACTTTTGGATCATCCTAATAAAATTGCGAAGGTCGCATCTAGATTTTTTCGAGCGCACGGTTCCTCAATGGCTGAAACTTTTTCCATGGATAGTATGGGCAGAATACTACACAGCTTATTCATTACAGCGCCTCTTATTCTTTCCCTGACCTTAGTTACGAATTTTTAGAATAGTGCTCATGCAGGTTTTTGGCATCGTTCTGGAAGGCGCTAAAACGGTTTCTTTCGAGGGAAAAGCTGTGCGATAGATAGAAAGTAAGCTTTTTGGTCGAAAACAACTTTTACGCCTAAAAGATATCGTTTTTTCTCCCCGCAAAAAAATATTGTGGCGTACATGGAGCACGGGACTGTCATTAAAGTCTAAAACGTTCTAATTTCCAGAACCGTAGTCTATATCTTTCGGTACTATTGAACCATAAAATAATTATGCCGAACATTCATAAAGCAGGAGGAGTTATTATAAAATAGTCAAGTCAAAATAGTCGTTTATGCAGGTTACCGCAAAAGGAAGTGGAAGAGGGGGAAGGCTAGGGGAATGGGGAAAGTTAGGGGGGGGTCGTAAATGAGGGTCCCGGATCGCATCAGCATGCTTGGCCCTGGTTCCAGCACCTCCGCGCCAAGGTCAAGCCCCGCCCATTGCTCAACCCTACTCGTCTCATTGTGAGGTATGCAAGCAGAGTGAACATAAATTATTCAGGTTTTAAAGTAATAAGAGAGAAGATGGAAAACAAAGAGCACTGTTATCATTTCTTAACTAAGGCGGTTTGAAAACTTCTGCTACGTCATCTCAAAAATGAGTATGAATGATTCTGAAAAGAGATAAATTGCACAGAATTTTTTTGAACAGAAACTCGGTCACTCGAAATAGAGCATCTGGATCGTAAATTACTAGTCATCTGATTGAAATGATTCAGCATCGGAAGTTTTTGATAATTGAGTGACTAGAACTGGTTAAGGACCCGATTATTCTCAACATCGGAAAGATTTATAGTGAAAAAAGTATAAAGTCTCCGAATAACCAACTCAACGCTTCCTCCAATAGTCGGGACTTTTCACATATACTTTCATACTTTCGTCTGTCATCATATATTGGGATGAATATTTCTTTCCAACTACTCTATCAATCAATGAGATCCAAACATCAAAATGTAATATAATATTTACAATCGATGTACTAGAGTACCACTTGGTCGCATGTGTGATTGAGGAGTTGGCTAAGAGTTCCAAATACGACACTGCGCTATCACTTAAATGAATTTTGAGTCTTGCATGAAATTGACCCTAAATTCTTTGTTATATATTGTGAACAACACTCATAACTTCTGCTTGCTTTCTATCATTTCATATGTTTCACAAATTTACTCAAGCACGAGCACTCACAAGTTTTTAAGAAAGTGTCATTTTTCGAAAACATGAGTAAAACATAACTCGAAATGCTGGATCAGCTGCAGCTACTTACGGATCTTACAGAAACCTAGGAAAAATTTTTCATTCTTCGATCTCAGTTCCATTATCCTCATATATAATGAAATGTCTTACAGTGCGTGTGTACAATTCAGAATGAGGGCACCTAGAGGGAGAAGTGATGGGCGGAGCCGCCCTTTAGCCCCGAGAAGGTGTGATGTCCTTCAAGAGATTTTTGGAGGTGCTAAGTACCTCTGCGAGGAAAAACGGCTAGGCTTTGGGAGCTCCTACTACGCCGCCCAATTCTGGAGTATGCACCATACATGAGAGGCGTGCGTATTTGTTGCACAGATATCCGCGGGAATGCCTCCTGCAAGTGACGATGCACAACTTTTTACGAATATCCGCCAGATTTTTGGAAATAACGTGTCTGCACTGTTGCGGCATGTGGATGAAAGAGTCCTTTTCAATCAACAGTGATCCGTGTGGGGTCCACTTCGATGCGGTCCCAAAAAATTAAAGTCATAGATTTCGCTTGGACTTCTTCTACAGAAATCATTTGTCATGCTGATAATAAATGTCACATTTTCTCGCACACAAACTATCGGAGTGTGGTTATAGTGAGTATACATATAGGGTGTCCCGAAAAAAAAAATGTCAACACTGTTTGATCGTTAATAACTCCGTTGCTTTCACGCCTTTTGCCGAGCTTGAGGCGCCATTCTGTAGAGCGAGGTTTAACTTAGATTTGCAGTATGGAGCATCATCGATCGCTGTTTGTTACTGTAGGACTACGGTATAAACTTCTAGCATGTGGATCTATCATAAAATATGCCATTTGACAAAATGTTTTCCAAAAAAGCTTAAAAATAGTGTGCTAGGGAATCGCGCACGCTGACTCCATTACACAACTTTTTACGAGTGTTTTTAGCTTTTTATACGGTATAGTCGCTTTTCTACAAATGTTGGGTATTCACTTATTACGGTTTATTTGGGATAACTTTGGAAAGAAGCATTACAGTAGAGTGGGAATATCATATTCGAAATCAGCGGCTTCCATTACCATAGTATAAAAGTTTGGTTCTGTTCCGAGGAGAACTTGGCCTCCAACGGCCCAAAATCCTTGTCGAAGTTCCTATCGTAATTCTACAGTAATGAAGAGCAATCGAGGATTCGCTCCATACCATACTGCAGATCTAAGTTAAACCTCGCTTTATAGAATGGTGCCTCAAACTCGGCGAAAGACATGAAAGCAAGGAGTTATTAACATCAAACAGTGTTCACACTTTTTTCGGGAGACCCTGTATAATGAGAGGTCTCCACAGATTTTAAGCAATTTGATTTCGGCTAAGGAGCGTTCATATCCCCGAATTAGTACTGAATTAGGAAGTTCTTGCGTAACTGAAATGCAATTGGATAACTTTCCAAATGCTGTTCCCAAGTTTGAGTAGAGGAAAAAGAAATTTCTTCTTCGGACGCACCTTCACTCGAGAAAAATTTTCTTGAGTAAGCTGTTGAGCTGTTGTTGAAAAGGCAGCACTTGCATCTTCGACGTCCTTGGCATGGTCTAGCATCGAGTCAAGAGTCTTCAAACGATCTTCTAGGAGAGTGATGCGAGAGGAGTCTGGGTCCACATGCTTGCGAGCATGGTTAGCCTCTTCGTATTTCCCCTTCGACATCGCTAGTTCTGCTCGGAGTGCCGGAAGTTGGAACTGTTCGATATTCTTAATATTCTCCTGGCTGCGCTCTTTGTATAGCTGATCAAAGATGGAATTTATCTGGATACTGAAGTGAGCTACTGCCTTACAGAGCAGATTCTCGTCCTCGATTTCAGCTGACATCTCATTCAATGCTTCATCATACTCCTTCTCCATTTGTTGTACAACGTCGATGAATTGAACGTCCTCATAGACGGTAGGAGGACCGAGAAAATTAAATAGCTGTTGAAGTTTACGAACTTTGTCGTAAATAGTACTCGTCTTTGTTCTTTCCCCTGAAATTACATCGAAGTCTTTTTTAACGTCATTGATAGATCTTCTTGGTTTTGACAACACTTCCTTGAGTGGCTTCAGAAAATTGTTCAGTTCAAGTTGCGTTTCCATTTTTATTTTCATAAATTCCTCCCAGTGGTTAGCACGTTCTTTCAACACTGGGACTATGTTATGAGCAAGAGATAGGGCTGCTTCTAGGGCTTGCACAGAAGGATGAGATTTTGGTGCATCCTGCAGAAGAGCTGCGGCCTTCTCGCACTCATCATCCAACCTTTTTGCAAATGATCTGTATGTCGGTAATCCTCCAACATTCATAAACCGAATAACATTATTGACAAGTTGGACTAATTGTGTGGATGTCGGTGCGATGGTATCTGCCAGTTGTTGTTCCGCTGCTCGTCTTGCAACTTCGTCCTCCATTTCAATGAGACGCTGCTAAAAATGACATTCACTTCAACTTCTAACTTCATGACATTTTGAACTCTATCTTATGCATCAAATTCAGTGGATCGGATACATATTGGTAGCTTTTAACGAGGGTAAAGCAAACTGCAGCAGATTTCATTTTCTTTTTTGGTAAACAATGTGGCTTTCGAAATTTTGCTTATGTCTGACTGATGAATTCCATTCCCCCCCTTCATCTCCCCCTTCCAAACTTCTTAGGCAGAAAAAGAACCGTCTCTCCCAGTGGTCATCTCCACCAGCGAGACCCAGTCACTCAAGCGCTGATTTTCTCCAAGTAAACAGTAAGCTCTGGGTTGGACCGATGTCGGAAACATATGTGTGCAAAGTTTGGCGCTGATCGGTCCAAACACAAGAATCTTCATAGAAGAATCTCCATAAATCACGCACTAGCTAACAATGTACCAACAATTCATGTATCATACTTCAGAACTCTTCCCATATAAACCATTAACGTGGCTGTCTTTCGATTATTTCAACCAAAACTTCGATAAGCGCATGAAATTTGCTGGAATTGACGTGTTAAAATGATCGAAAGGCAGCTACGTTGAAAGTTCATATGGGAACAATTCTGGGAAATGCACGATGTAAGTTAGTGTAGTTTAGCAAATCTGAGAATCAGGGCCCGTAGTAATCTACCCTACCAGGTGGCATCAAGACGCCGGCAAATTCGCGAACCTCGCGGCATGTTCGTTTTTGGGCGCTGAATCTTCCTTCAGATTCTCGTATTTTGATTTGTTTTTCTCTTTCGTTTAGTTTTGATTAGTTTAGTTTTTCGCACATGAAATTTTGATGCCACTGATATCTGCAAAACATCGACATCGCGCGGGTCCGAACCTGCGTGCGTCAACCTCAAGCGCCGCCGCACTAACCATTCGACCACTCGTTCAATTTTTTCCGTCTGCGGCAGCAATTATAAAAACGCTGCCTAAGTAGTGAACGTCCTGTATCTGAGCATGATCAATACAATGCGCGATGGAGGTTGACCTGAAATAACAGCTGATTGATAAGAGCGAACGAGAGACGAAACCGTTGCAAATGAGATTTGAAGCAATTGCAAAATGAAAATGGCCTTCCTTATGGTATTATAGTATCAATAGTCGTTTCTTGTGCATACATATTATCAATTTGGAGAAGAAAAACCCATATGATGGCAAAAATGATAGTTTTTCGATGGAAAATAATTTTTTTTGTTTTTTTTTGCCGTACGTAAATTGTGTAATTCTGCCGCGGAACGCATTTTCACAGACGCCGTCGGCAAAGGTGCCGGCATCAGGACGTGATAGGGGCACGTCCAGATGCCGGCAGGTTGCACTCCACCAAAAGCACACTATTTCGTGCACTCTCTGACCTGCCGGCAGGCTGAGGGCGAAATGGCATTTCAAATTTCGGCGAAAAGAGATCGTGAAGCTGCCGGCAGGTTCACACTTCGTGCCAAATAAATGGCAAACGAGGACATTTTTGGATTTCCTTTCAACTCCCATACTATTTCGACAGCAAAACTGGACCGTAACACAAAAAATAGATGATCAGCCTGGCTTAGGGGCCCCGGAGGCAGTTTGAGATTTTAGGGACCTCAAGTCCACATCAAGGCGACCTCGGGGCATGAGATGCCGGCAGGGGTGGATTACTACGGGCCCAGATAACTCCAAAATTATTTTTACATGACTGCCACCGTCCCTTTCTTTTGAGGTTTGGGGTCATACGCCCTTGAAAACTTCAGAAAACGTCAAAAAAAAAACTTTTTTCTGAAACACGCTGCTAAGGCCACACTCAGTCATTCAATTCATTCTCCCAAAGAAAGGTCCAGCAGTCAGGATCCTCCAAAGGCCTGCCGCTTTTCCTCCAGGCGCGCCCTTAAGAGGCAATAATCTCTTCGCGCCTATCTCGCACCTACGTCGCACTTGTCTCGCGCATTCTTGCGACGGTTTCCCTCTGGGCGAACGTCTTATTTCTCCTAGCACTAATTAGAAAGTTCAACATTGATTCTCCAGTGATAACAAGAAAAAGAAAAAGCTGTGGGAACTTATATATAAAGCTAAATGTGTGTTCGATTTTATCGTTTTTTTAACAAAGTTCGAGCTAGGAGTTGGCTGGGAGTTGGGGGGGGGGGGGGGGGATAATGGAGCATGCTATTTCGAAAACTACACAGGAAACAGGAAAAGAAGTGTGGAAGTGTGGAAAGGCTGTACAGGGATAGGGATGGGACCTTTATTACGGTGTTTTGACAGGGCCGAGCGGAGCCAGTTAAGCAAGCTAGTAAAATAATAAAAGTGACTGATAATGAAAGTGCCTTTGCCAGAGAAGTCACTTACAAGGAAGGGAAGGTTGGTCGACATGTTTTGAGATGAAATGTACACTGTTTTGTAGAGCTTGGAACGCTGATTCGAAATCTACCTTTGATATCTGCTGCGGGCTTCTGGGCAAGGAATTATGAAAGTTTATGTGATTAAAAAATTTGAGTGCAAGATTGGTAAAAAAATCAGTCATAAACTTTTCCTAACGTTCTAATGAGGTAGCAGCGAGTTGGCGTAAATGGATTAAAGATATTTGTAGCACCGAGTGACTCGACTTCCAGTTAAGTCTTAGGAAAAAGGATGCGACTGATTTTACACTAATCTTGCGTTTAACTTTTTACTCACAAATACCTTCATAGCTCCTCGCCCAGAAGTCCGCAGCAAATAGCGAAAGCAGATTTGGAACCGGCGGTTCAAGCGCTACAAGACAGTAAACATCTCATTTCAAAAGGTCACTTCGACCAACCTTCCTTTCCTTCTTAGTCGAAGTGGCAAGTTGGAAGTTGATGCATAGCTGACATTTATATCTGCGAAGCGTTTCCCCAAAAAACCTCATGAGCTTTTTCGTCTTAATTCATGGAAGTACAGCTCAGAAAGAATATTGACGACAGCCTTGCCGGAAAATACTCGAAAATGTATAGGCATCAAACTATGTACGATGCTTAACAAGTATTTTAGTTGAGTCTGCATAGTCTTCGCGGAAGTTATTTGCAGCTCAGTATGCATGCAATTTGGCAATAGGAAAACTCGAAACTTTTCCCAGAAGGAAGCTTCGCAGAAACATGGCATCTAAGAAGGAAGAGAAGTCTCCATAAGGAAGAGGTTTAGGTACAGCGGGCCCATTGAACCGCTGAAATGATGTATTAGGTTGTCTAATTATTTACCGTTTTTCTTAGTCCTCTTTTCGTATCTTTCCTCTAATCGATGCGGCATGAGTAACTATTTGATGGGGCAAAGCAAGCTCTACAAGACGGCTATCAAGAGTTTGTCCAAATCGCAATCCACCTAAAGTTTTGAGCTGAAATATGATAGCAGTCAAAAACGAATTTTACTGTCAAAAATCGTATCTCCGCCCCAAAAAATCTAAAAAACCTTATTCGACCTAGCATGTGCTTGACACATCGAATATTCAATTATGCAATTTTAGTATTTTTTCGATGGCTAGAAATAAACGAAAAATTGATTGGAGTAAAATGGCAAACTCCGTTCCTAGGAGTCCTGAGCTCCTCCCACACACGTTATCATATAGCTCATACATGCAGAAGTACAGAAGTACGATCATGTATTTGAAAATACATGAAGGTGCCCCACTTCTCGAGAAATGCTGATGTGTAAGATAAAAACGGTAAATAGGTAATTATGGGACATCCTAATACAATGTGTTTTTGAATTTATAATTCCAAAAATATGCCCATGACTTAGCTTCGCTGATAAGAAAATATGATTACCGTTTGCTCTTTTTATCTACTACATCTCAAAGCCACAGCGGAATGTAATAGGTTGGTACATACGCAACAATCATTTGCAACAATCTTTGTAACTTTTCTCTTTTTAAATGTGATGCATTCATTTTTGGGCATAATGTATAGACAGTAGGCTACGAATGTGCGCAGAGAATTTGTTTTTTGGTAGCAAAGTAGAAAAATTTCTATTTTTTTCGAGAATATGACAAGTTGGAAATTTCAACGATCGGAAAACCAAAAATACAGCCGTTCTTAGTCTGAATCGAGCACATCAAGCCGAAAATGCATCAAGATTGTTGTTAGGGGAGTCTTGAATGATCTAGCTTTGGCTTGATGCGTTTGATTCATACCGAGAACGGCTCCATCGACTTAACGCCAACCTAATATTTGGTTGTCAATCAAATAAATTTTCATTCTTTGTATGTTACTGACAAATCGTTGATGCGGTGACCTTTGCGACTACAAAAACAATAATCTCTCTAATTTACGTTGACTAAGTGACCGAGTGTTTCACCTCCATTTGTTGAATAGTGAGAGTTTCAGATCTTCATTTTTTGTTATCATTGAAAAATTTCCCTTCAAACAGTGACTTTTTCTGATCAACGCTAGGAGGAACAAGACGCTGGTCCAAAGGGAAACTATCGCACGAATTCAACGCTAGGAGGAACAAGACGCTGGTCCAAAGGGAAACTATCGCATGAATGTGCAAGACAGGTGCGATATAAGTGCGAGGTAGGCGCGCAGGGATTACTGTCTCCCAAAAGCGCGCCTGGAGAGGAAGCTGCGGGTCTTTGGAGGATCCTGCATGCCCTCCGAAGGGTCCTAAAATTTCATAAAATCGAACTCGAACAAAACAGCTGCCATCGTTTCCCAAGAATTATCTGCACATATCTAGACATCTAAACAGCTTGATTTCTACATTGTCATACAAGTGATCGAACTTAAGCTCTCGCGCCGATAAAAGTGTTGAGAAACATTAGTACAGGGCTCCTAAATTGCAGAGTCGTTTGCACCAGCGGCCGCGCGACCGCTTCGCGCCCCGGCATTTTGCCAGGCCTCGATCGATGGCGCCAGCGACGGCGCTGGCCGCGACGCGACGCGGTCGCGCGGCCGTTGGTGCAAACGACTCTGCAATTTAGGAGCCCTGTAAGTATAAGTGAGTCACATTGCAAAACTTCGCTTATTTCACGTCATGTAAACAGAAAAGCAGCAA